CTGATCAAAGTTTACGTAGCGTTGGTTGTTTTTAAATCCTTCCATCTGTCACACAGAGACCATGACATGAACGAAGAGCCTCCAACTACGATCAATGACACTCACGAGTGAGTCACTCTTTGTTGAGTGTTTTGTTACTTGGACAAAGTTATTTCACTGACATTCACTCTTTTTCTACTTTCTGGGATAATCTCATGTTCACTGTTGGCATGTTCTGATGTACATCACTTTGTTAATTTAGTATTTTTATTTTCAGGACTGAAGCCCTTTCAGTTGAACAAGACAATCATGAGCTCAGAAAGCGGTTGTCTCCTCAGAAAAGTCAAGAACCCAACATAATACCATCACCTTTACCAGCAAGAAGACTTTTTGTTGACCAGTGTTGACTCCTCAGTGACAGAAAGGAGCAACAAGTCAAACCTGATCAGAACTACATCAAAGCTTGACGCACTGATAATCCTGCTTCTAAAGTTGTACTGAAACATGCACAATTATCACAATGACATTTAAAACAATCTGTTCTGCCTAATGAATGATAATGGGCACTGCAGTTTTCATGATGATATTTTGTACTATTTAATTTTTTTTACTGTGTTTTTTAAAGAAATTGTTGTTTGTTTTTGTAGTTTTTTTAATTGAAGACTGACTTCAAAAAATAAATCAAATGAACAAAAAAGCGATGGTTTGTTGTCTTTGTTTGGAAGTAATTGTTGACATGAAGTGAGTAAAAGAAAACTAATGCATCAACATTTCTCTGTGATATTTGCTGAACGGTTAAATTTCTATTATTCCAGTGACTGTAGATACTAATAGCAACAGAAACAACCAGAATGCTTCCATCACACTTCAGTGTTTTGTTTTTTTTAGATGCAATTCATCTGCAAATGTGAATCAATGTGTGCTCCAGATTTCCTGCTGGAACTGCACAATGTGACCACTAGAGGTCACTGTTTATCCAGATTTACTGAATGTTGAAACTCAAAGAAAATCCATAAAAAATGATACCAGTTTATTGTTTTCAGTTGTTTAATCCATGAATGTTGCTGATCGAGTCATATGAAATCATTCCAGTGTTTCTTGTAGGTATCAGTGTAATGTTTAATTTATTTATTGCACAGTTTTCTTTAACAAATGTAATCCTGCAGATCATAAACTCCACCCCAGTCTCTCTCTCCTGCTCTCTCAGATGTTTGCGGTCACATGTTCATATGAGCTGAGAGCTGGTGGTTAAACACGTGGGCAATTGTAAATGCATTTTTCAACAAAACAGAGAACAAGTCTTTCCCAGTTTTTGGACGAGGATTAGAGACCTTCAGCTGAACTGATCCATAAGCACTGTCTTCTGATATTTGCATTTTTATACAATAAGATTTTTTAAAACCATTTTCCTACAATCTGTTGTGTGTTTATGTGTTTTATAAATGTTGTTGTTTTTTCACTGATTTTGTTTTTTGTACCTTTGTGTAACTTCTTGTTACTTTACATGTAACACTAATGTCACTGATTCATGATTTTTATTTCTTGCACCAATCTGTTTTTATAAAAAATGAAATGTATATATCTTTGCATTGTTTTCATATAAAGTGATTACTAGGGGAAAAAAAGAAATTAGAGGACACAGAATTTAATATGTACTTAAATAAATAAAAACACTATTTATATTCATGTTCATATCTTCTGATGAGGCGCAGTTGGTAGCACTGTTGCCTCGCAGCAAGAAGGTTGCTGGTTCGCGTCCCGGTGGGGGCACCTGAATCTTTCTGCGTGGAGTTTCTTGCATGTTCTCCCCATGCAGCGTGGGTTCTCTCCGGGTTCTCCGGCTCCCACACAGTCCAAAAAAACATGTTGAGGTTGGTTGGTGATTCTGGGTTGTCCGTGGGTGTAAATGTGAGTGTGCTTGGTTGTCTGTCTCTGGGTGTGGCCCTGTGATAGACTGGCGACCTGTCCAGGGTGTCCCCTGCCTTCGCCCTGGGTCGGCTGAGATGGGCTCCAGCCCCCCCTCCGTGACCCTGGTGAGGATTAAGCGGTGTATAGATAATGGATGGATCTTCTGACGATGCTGCAGTTGTGAATTTCACCAAAACGTTCCTCTGCTTCCGCCTTGGACAGCTTGCGTGATGACGTAAGTGCGTACGTGCATGTGCCGATTAAAGCCCTCGCTCACCTGTTCGGAGGTCACCGCACTGATTAGCTGCCTATGTTAGTTTGTTGAAGTTTTTTTGTGATTTAAAAGCGGCCGAACTGCTGCAAGTAGCTCGAAATAATGTCCGACTCGTTCTGTGTGAGTCCTGCCGAGAGTTGAGTTCGGTAAGTTTATTATTATAATTTTTTTTTTTTTGAAGATAAAACTCGGCTAGCAACATGCTAAGTTGACTTAGCTTAGACACACCCGGCTCACGGTTGTCTGTTTTTATTTCCGTACCACAGGTTTGGAGATGTTTTGCTGTGTTTCAGTGGTTGTATTTTTATTTTTGCGGTTTGTTTATTGACATCAGTGACTGGCTGCATAGAGTTTCCTGGGTATTGAAGTTTATGCATCCAAATTACTGTAGTTGAGGTTTGTAATGAAAATGGGTGTTTTAGGTCAAAACAAATCCACATGTCTTGGCTGTCAAGGTGTCCTCAGTCACTAGATCAAATGACACGCAACTGCACATGAACTAAATAGGTTACGGCTGGTAAGACCAATTGCACACCTAACTCCGACCAGCTGCATAGATCATGTCAGATTGTGACTCAGCAACTGATTAAACTGAAGCCATCATAAGTCATCACGTGTGACTTTATCAGTCTGTAAAATGAAGTACAAACTGTGAAGCTTTCTTCAAGGCAGCATCACACACACACACACACAAAACTAGGTGTTGCCCCAGACGCCAGTAGACACCAGATATTTAAATATAACAAATGGAGACATTAAAGAAGATGAGTCATGTCAATATTTAATGTCCTCAAATAGTCATATAGTGGAATTACAATCAAATACTCGTAGGAACCAGTTTAAAGCATTTAACAAACTCTGAGGACGTTGACCACCACATAGGCCTACTTATTCATTCATGTAACAATATGTATATACTTAATATTTATTAGAATTATATATATATGATTGAACAAAAGCTAAAATAATGCTTTTTTAAAGAGCTTTTTTTGTTTTAATTCTTTCTAAATAGCCGAGGGAGAACATGGCAATGCTGCTGCTTCTCAGTTTATATCCAGCAAGCAAGCTGATAACTTACTTAGGAGACATTTTATTATTCCCCATTATATCACATGTGAATTTTATTATTTATTTCCGTAATAACATTTGTTTGACATTGTTGTCTTTATATTGACCCCCACAGAGATC